GGCGGGGGGGCGTGGCTTAAGGGGAGAAGGGGGCGTGGCCACAAGCAGAGGGAGGCGTGTCCGTAAGAATGAAGGGGGCGTGTCCCCCAGCCAAGCCCCGCCCCCCCATGGTCAATCAATCAATCACTCCCCATAAAAACCTGCAGACTCTTTTTATTAAATTCTCCCGTTTTCATCTGTACAGAAAAGAAGAAAAAAAAAAACAACAAACCGAACAAAAAAACGAAACAATGCACATTATTATGTTCAGCATCTCGGTAACAGCTCAAAATTACACAGCGTGGGCGTGTAAAAAAAGAAACAACAAAACAACCCCCAAACAAGGATTTATACACAGAAACAATTTACAAAACCAACAAAAAAAAGCCTCGTTAATGTCACGTTTGGAAATAAAACCCAACGGAGACTAAAAGTTGAACCAGCTGCTGCTGTACAAGGGGAATGTGCTGGGGCTGCCTGAGGCGGGTGGGACACGTGGAGCCTGGTTTGGGTCCCTCCGAGCAGGGCAGGTCTGGCCCCAGCAAGGACCCTGCACCAAGATCAGTTCCTGGGAGAGGCCTCTGAGATGTTCAGCCTCATCCTGAGGAACATCCTGAACACCAGGGCAGCCGTGGGAGTGCACAGAGATCTGGTTTTAAATAGGGACAGAAGCGAAAGGCTCTGGGGTTCACACTCAACGCACTCGCACACCTCAAAACTAAACCTTTTCTTTTTAAAAAGAACAAAACTAATAAAGCAAAAATCAAAAAAAAAAAAAAAGGTACGAAACCTTCTCTCGACTAAATGATAAAGTTGTGTTTTAACAGAAGTCACCATCCAACTTGAACACAGCTTCTCTATGACGTGACGGGATCCGAGCGATCCCCCCTGGCTCGTCCCATCCCTCCACACCCACCCTGCAGTTTTCTGATCTTGGAGACATTCACTCTTATTATTTTTCACTGTGGACTCTTTCAGAACAAGAAGCATGGATTTATAAGTGTCAGATTCCAGGTGAAATGCTTTAGTTTTGTTACAGAACTATTTGAACTTCACAAGGGCCTTTCCAGCGACACAGACACACGGGTCCTCAGCTCGCTGGACAGTACCTGAAGTGCCAGGAATTTTGTTCCTACCCAGAGGAATTCATCCAGCAGGTGAGGCAAGAGAATCCCAAGTGGAAACTCAGCAAAAGATCACACCCACTAGGCAAACAATAAATAAGCTTATTAAGGTCAACAAGGATGAACACTAAGGGGCCAGCAGAAGTAACAAGGTACATGTCACGCGTGGTCCCACTTAGCCATGTCATCCAAACATGGGCCATCATTTAGGAAACAACTCGTTCATCAGCAGCAGGAGGGAAACTGGGAGCTGCCTGCCCTGCTGCCTCCCAGCCACCTACCCCTTCCATCCATCCCCAGGAGCTCGCCAAGAGAAGGTTTTGTGATGACAAGGAGAAAAACCACCCCACCTCCCGACTTGCATCGGGCAGACTTCTCCACCAAGAGCCACGAAGAGGAAGGGGCACCCCAGGTTTTGTCACACCAAGACTCTTCTCTTGGCTGATCACAGCTATTTTTAGTGCTCCTGATGAGATCAGAGAGGTTAAAAAGGCTTCCTCAAGTTCAAGGCAACTGCAGTGTTTCTTACAACCGTTTCCTTCTTTCCCCCCCCGAACAGAAAATGGTCGCCTGCAGGCAGGAGGTTGCGTTGGCAACAGCACAAGCAGGTTATTTTTGGAAGAGTAGTTGTCTGAGCTTCTGTGCTATTGAGACCTCTAGATTTTTAGGTATTAAAGGAGGAGGCCATTTCAAGACTGGGTCTGGTAGATTTCTAGTCTGGTCATCAGCAGTGGCAGGAGGCCCCGTTTTAAAATGTGAAGGAAGAGAGGGTCATGATGAATGACAAAATGGCCTGGGCCCTTTGTCAGCATCACACCTTTAAAATGCAGGACCATGCCCTTACAGTGACAAAGGACACCTGAGGGAATCATGAAGAAATGTATTTAGGATCTGCTTTTGCTTCAGAGGGCCTCCAGACACACCCCTGTGCCACCATCCCAGAGCACACACACCGCAACCGAGTTCCCAGGCACAGCAGCACCACTGCCCAACACCACCACAGGCCACACAACTCCTGACCAGACAACCTTAACCTCCTCCAAATCAAAACAAACAAACCAAAAAACAACCCAGAAAGCCTTATCTCTGAAAGTAAAGCCACCTTCAGAGCTAATCAGGGTTTACATTCAGAACTATGGCTACAAACCTACAACTTTCACTGCACTGTCATTTGGGATTTAGTGGAAGATGCTATTTCTAGACAATAAACCATCTAAATAGGCTTTTCAAGCTAATCAGGTTACAAAACGCCTTTCCAGAAAGTGGCAACAGTTCAAAAACAACAACAAAAAAAAAGCCCTCTGATGGCAATTTCATGACACCTGATAGACACTGTGAGAAGCAGAATTGGCGCCAAGCAAGAAAGGCTGCAGAGATCCTGCCTCCCTGCCAACACACCCATCTCTACAGCAGCCATTCCTGCCCTCTGTCAAGTGGAACAATACACACCTACAACTGCCAAACTAACATTTGTGATGTTAGACACCTGTGCTACCTCAAGAGACACAAAACTGTTCCTCTTCTGCTCCACTTGGCACTACCAGAGGGCCAGAAGCTCCTTTAGCACCACAGGAAAAGGGGTGTGAGAGAGAGAGAATTCAGGCTTGATTTCTGCTCTACCACTTCACTGCCATCTTACCACACACCAATTCTCCACCAAACCTTCAAGGCTCAGACATCCCCTACTGCTTGCCTCGTGTTCATGGTACTTGGGACATAAAACCAGAAGAGTTTGTGAAGGACTCACTAGCACAGGAAGTCTAAGACTGTATCGCAGCAAAAGCAACAGTCCGTTGTGTTTGCCATCCTGCACCCAGAACTGGCTGGTCCACACTCAAAACCACCTCCCCTGTTCTTCTAGAGAACAAGGTGGAGAACTTGAGTGTCAGGTCTTCCCCAGCAGGGCACTACCCGGGCAAATAAAGTCAAGGCTCAAGCAACAGCCCAAGTTGGACAGTTTCAGGCACGGGAATTCACAGCAGCACAGGCAGGTGAGCACATTTAGAAAATGAGTTAATCCCACTGCACACAGGAACTGCTGTGCAGTTACCTCTGGAGTTCACCAACATGCTCACTGTTCCAGCACCTGGCTTAGGACCTCCTTGCCCCCTTGGACTTAAGGAATTAAGATGATGAAGAGGCCACAACTACCAGTGCAGCTTTTCTAAACCACGTCCTTTAGGCTCTCTGTGCAAGTATCACGGTCTGGGAGTGTCAGGACATCCAGTGTGAGTGCACACACTGATGGTAACCATGTGAAAACTACTTCCCTTAAAGATCTGGACATTTCTGCCTCTCATACAACACTTCCATCCTCCCATCCACATGTGCTTGGCCTTCTGGACCAGCACCTGGGTAAAACATCCCATAAAAGTTCCAGCTGCTACCCCTTGTAGCCTTGGAAAGGAAGAACACTCTCCAGTGCTACCTTTCAAACCCTGAAGACCCAGACAGGCCAGTTACAAACCACCACACTAGCCCACCAGTCACCATTGAGCAGACAGAGCATGTTGAGTGTTGAGCTGCTTTCTGCACCCCTGACAAGAGCACTGGGCTGCCAACCTGCCAACACCACCTGCAGACAGTCCATTCAGAAGGGTGACAGCTCAGCAGCAGCCAAGGTCAAACAAAAGGAGTGTTAAAAGAGTTTTTACTGCATTGTTGCTAAGAAAAAAAAGCTCAGCCAGTGACTGATCAGGGCACTTGGTGCCTCCTGGCAGCAGCACTGGACACTACTGACAGGCTCTAGGTGCCTACACTGCTTTCATCTACCAAACACAAGGTGTACAGCTCGTGAATACTGGATCCTGGTCAGTGCTTTATTCTAGAGTGGCAGAGGAAGAAAGGGAGGACACCTTTGCAGCCAAAAAAATCCACAGTAACACAAGCAGGATATTCACTAGGTGGGTGACACCACTGACTGGTGTCCTCAGGTTGTCCAAGCCTATGCTCTGAAGATGCTTTACAGAAGATGAGCAAGATGTCCAAAACAAGGCCAACTGTGGTGTTAAGATGCAATTTACCCATTAATTTCCTGCCTCAACTTCAGCCAGCCACAGAGGATGACTAGATTTCAGTAGGAACCAAATCATAAGAGTCAAGTGTGTCTTCCTTTAAAAATTGACTTAAAAACTCCTTGAGCTGCAGGTCACAATCAGTCTGGTTTGGAGAGTGAAGGCAGTTCCAACAGTACAACAGAGACTTGTCTACAGGCAGGTCAACAAGAGTCTGCTAACAAAGGGGTAACCAAAGCTGCTGGCTGGGCTGCCAATGTTGCACACAAACTTTCATAGGATGAAGATGCTGTGGATGAGATCCAGGATGGGAAAACTGAGCCAACACCTGCTGCTGTTCTAATTATTTTTTTTGTTTGTTTTTGTTTTTATTCTCCTCTCACAAGAAGGGGTGGGTAGACTATACAGAGGAGGAGGGCTGTACAAAACTGGGCACTAGGCAGGCATTTCTTCAGCAGGCAATCCAGGCTCTACCTGTCCTTGAGCTCTCTTGTCACCCGCTTGGTGATGCGTCCACACATCAGGCCGATGAGGAAGAGTACACAGATGCCAACTGTGATGACTGACAGGATGTAATTCTTGGATGGAGAGGTCATAACTTGCATGGCAAGGTCAGAAAAGCCTTCTGCTGGAGCAACCTGGGGGTGAGAAAGGAATAAATGAGCCAAGCTGCACCTCCACAGAATCATTCTGGTTGGAAAAGACCTTTAAGATCATTGAGCCCAACCATAACCCAGCTCTACCAACCACTAACCCAGCTCTACCAAGTCCAATGCTAACCCATGTCCCTCAGCATAACATCTACACAGCTCTGAAACACCTCCAGGGATGGGGATTCAACCACCTCCCTGGGCAGCCTGGGCCAGTGTTTAATGACCCTTTCAGTAAAGAAATTTCTTCTAATATCTAATTTAAACCTCCCCTGGGCAACTTGAGTCCATTTCCTCTTGTCCAGATAACTCCCACCTCCTTTTTCCTTCATCCCTCAGAGCAGGAACTAGTGCCCTGCTTGATGGCACACATACAGCAGGACACAAAGTCAACTCTTTCTCTCAAATCTTTCTCTCTCACCCCTGTGACCTGTTTAAGTGCTCCACATCCCACCTCCAACATGTCCTAACAAGTCAGGAAGCTTTTGCAACCTCAGCTCTAGGTTTCCACGTGAGCCTCAGTGTTTATCAGGTTTAGTCTCTGGTACTGCTGTTGCCTCCTGCCATCACCAGGCTCAGCCTGAACCACAAACCAGCAGTTCTGCAAGGACTCATCTGAAGAACTGCTGCTCAGCAGGACAGTGTCACCACAGGAAGTTGTGCTCACCCTGTTTCCTTGCCTCAGACCTTCTCTAGAGGAGGCCAAGCCCTGTGTGCAGAACAGTTCCAGTGACAGTTTCACTCTGCACTGCTCAGAATGCATCCCAGACACTGAGAGACACGACACACAAGTTTTTTTAAAAAAAGACCAGATTTCAATTTTCCAGCACGTTGAACGTCAGTGACAGGAACTCCCTGAGAGTGGGGAGTTTTTCAGAGGCAACATGAAGCTCCAGTGCTAACGAAGGAGGAAGCAGTTCCCCCAAACCCTGCAGAGACTCACCTTGGCAGCATAGCTCCACATTTCAATACGATCATTAAGGCGTTTCTTGCACTCAGGCTGCAGCCTCACCCTCTTGTCTTCCAGAGCTTCCATTAAACAGGACATTTCTGTAGGGTGCAGAAGATGGTGTGAGAAAACAAAACATGCCATGGAAAGGCCGCTGGAAACACATACTAAAATTCTACTGGTGGTTACACAGCTTCCTGAACAGCCAGTCTGGCAGACTAACTGCCCTTTGAAGGTAGCAATTTCACTAAGACTTGAGATTTAATGCTGTGGTTTGAGGTGCACAGAATTTTGAACTCCAAAAATACAGCATATATCCAAAATGCAATTCATGTGATCTTACAAAGGCTTCTAAATTTGCACCTTCAGTGAGCTGTACTCATCAATTCCATGTCACTGCCCTTGAGGGAGAAGTAAGATCCAATTCAGCTCAGGAAAAAAAAACAACAACACACCATATCTTCTCAGGCTTGTTAGGAGTTTCTTTTGATCAACAAAATGTTTTGGAAAGATTTAACTTCCTGAGTTTTCAGAGTCCTGTGCAAAGGAAATGGGAACACAATGCTCTGGGTGCCCATGGAGAGCCTTGGCTAATTCATCAACTCTTTTATAGGCTCATAGGAGACACTGATACAACATTTTGCATTTTCTACTTACACTGCCTTACTTGAATGATCCCTAATTGGATCCTTGCAGTGCAGAGTTATTTTCTTCAGAGCAAACAGGCTGCAAACTTTACACTAACTCCAGACTTTTTAAACACAACTGTCAGTTCAAACACTGGGAGGCAGATCCCTCTCTAAGCTGCAGACTTCTGAGTGCAAACATCTTGGAACACACATCAAAAGAATGAGGACAAAACAGGAATAAATAAAGGATATCCAGAACTTCAGGAAGGCATTTAGTAACCAGATAATGATCAGGAAAATACTTGGTTGCTATTTTTAATGCCAGATAAACTCAGAAAGATGGGAAAGTTCAGAGCTTTTTCCCCACTAGCTTTCCTCAAACAGCCACACACACAATCCAACATACAACAGTAACAAAGTGCAGGAGCTTGACCTCAAACAGGAAAGGAATGAGTTAGGAAATGTTTAAATAAATGATGTTTCAAGTGGTTTGAACCTGGTGAACTCAGTCTTAGGGGACTTGGAACAGCTAATGAAAGTCTCCAAGCCTCTAGCTGCTATGTGAACTTAGAAAATGTAGTAAAGATTACCTAGCCTCTGGGAAAGAAAAAACTGGTGTATTTAAGCAGAGAAGAAAAAAAGGAGGATCAAAGGACCTGAGTTTAATTTTGGCTGTCAAAAGTCCTGAAACAATGAAGCTAACCATGGACAAAGACTGACATAAAGAAAGAAGGACCAAGGGATTAGCTAAGAATTAATCTTGTGAAACCAAATTGATTTGCCTCTGTAAGAGAAGCAGCTTGAGCTCCAGGGAAACTCTTGATGCAGACTGATAGAAAACCACCTGGTTTACCACCAAGCTGTATCTTGGGTGAAGCTGACACAGGGTGGGAGTGAAACCTCACCAAAAAACTGGTCCATCTACTTCAGCCTGTGTGTATTAAAAGCTTGTTTTCAACAGGATTGATATCTGAGGAGGGATTTTACAGAAGGATTCTGGACCTGGGATCACAGACAATTGTCACCAATCACCTGAATGATGGAATATAAAATATTCAATCTGCAAGGATATTGTACCAAGATTGAAGAATTGGTCCCACTTTGGACACAAGGAAAGACTTCTTGATAGCCACCTTCTAGTGGCATCTACCACCTCTGCAACCATTCCACTTCATCACCCACAGAGAAGTGGTGGAAAGGTCTGGTACTTAAGCTGCATTCTCTTCCCAGCATGAAAGCCCTCACAGCTCAGAGGTTACACAGGCAAAGCACAAGCACTTACGGCGTCCTCTCCCTGGTGGAATGGCAGCACAGTGGTGTTTGATGTCCAGGGCACAGGCTGTGTGGAGCACTGGGTCAACAAATATATCTGCTTTGCTTTCTTTCAGCATGTTGAGCACCTCCTGGGGAGAGGGGAATGACAAGAACATCTCAAAACAAAGGAGAGAGGACAAAACTCGTGCTGCTCATTGTTTCTGAAAGGTGCATTATCTTTTTAAGTCCAGGCTCATGAGAAAAACACTGTACCTGGAGGAGGATTAAATGTTCTGGTTTATAAAGGTTACCATAGTTGTGGCCATTAAAATACCTGTATTAATCTAAAATACAAAGTCAATATGACAGGGTTAGTTCAGTCAGAACTGAAATAAGGTGCCAGAGCCACAGGGGTAATTCATACAGCCCTTGCTCATAGCTTGGCCACAGCCAGCACGTGGAGAGCCTGCAATGGAGACAGCAACCCAAAGCAGATTACTAACAAGAAACCTGAGGAAGCATAATCAAGAAAGGATTGAAGCCTGGAATTGTAAAGGAGGCATTGGCAGCCCAATCTGCACTGGGAAATGGAAACTGAATTGAATTGCTGCAGGTCAGAACTGAGATGGGTACGGAAAGGTGCAGAGTTTTGGCTTCTCACTAGCTGGAATGTGGCCTGGGCTGTGATCTGTAAAAATGACTGATTTCTGCAGGGACAGGAGGGTTTTTCAGAGCACGTTCAATTCCTCTCCTTTACCTTCTTGCACATTTCTGTTTTTATTTTCAGCAGGTTCACTTTCAGACATTCTTCCACCTGCCCAGTCTGCTCCTGAGCTGCTGCTTCTTCCGCACACAAGTTGGAAATCTATTTTGAGAGAGGCATTTTAACCATAAGTAGCTCACCACAATTATTCTGCCTTTCAGCACATTTAGATGTCAACACATCAGTTCATCACGGGGTTGCAGGGGGAGAACACACCATGCAAATCTTTCCCTCCCTGAATCCCCAGAGCCAAAGGCAGCCTGGCTCATGCAATATGCATACCCTTCCCAACCCAGCAGCAAGAAGTCAGTATCACTGTACTGAGGGGAAAGCAGGGAGAAAAACAGCCCAGAAATTATGTTAATAAGAAAGAAGCAATACTTGAGACACAGCTGGTTCAGCCATTAGAAGTGAAAGCTCAAAATCCAGCTGTATATTCCAGTGAAGGCTGATAAGACCAGAGAACTGGCACGTTTTTTTTTCCAAAAAGAAAAGCAGTATTTTTCCCTAGCACTGATGAGATCCCAGATGAAAAAATTCACTTATTTTAGCACTGGACAGGAAACTGTAAATCTTAACACACTGGACAACAATCCCAAGCAGAGAACCCGCCTGGCTAGAAGCTGGTTTTGCTAATTTCAATGATCAGGCTAAATTCTGTTTTAAGAAACAAAACCTGTTTCCCAAAGGGAGTTTTCATCCTGCTGAGCTACTTCTCCTACCTCCTCAGAGCAGTGCATCTGAAGTTGGGGATCCAGCCGATAATCTAGAGCTGATTCTTGGATTATCACTCGGATTTGGTCCTCACAGTCTGGAGAGAGACGCTACGAAGCAGAGAAAGTCACTGACCCACTCAGTCACCTCCCTTCTCCCAAATCAATCACCTTAACTTCTGCATCCTTTAATACTTGCACAGAAGCATGAAAACTCATTATGTGCAGCCTGTTCCACACACTCAACATGCCACAGGTGCATCCAGTGCCTGTTGCTCAGCACAACCCTGCCCAGCCCCTCGTTCGGATGCCCCAGCTCAACTCACCTGGTCTGCGTATTTCAACTTCAGGCACGAGATGACTTGTCCTTCCAACTCTGTGTCATCCTTGGCCCTGTTCAGGATATTTTGGCAGAATTTTGGGATGTCTGCTTTGCATGCCTTCCTGAGCACTGGATTGAGGCGGTAATCTAAGCAGGAAAGATGACAGAACCTCACTGGAGCACACACCTCTGCAGGTCACAGAACACAACACTCCGAAAAAGACCGGACAGAAACTTCCCGGGTGACATTTTTAACCACCACTATATTCAATTTTGGGGAAACCCGGTATTTTTTCACACCCAAATTTTAACTTCAGGGCTTAAGTGGAGGCAATAACACATGCTGACCCTCAAGAACTTGGCTGCATAAAGTCAGTGTGTGCCCTAAAAACCATGAAGGAGACTAAAACCAAGTGAATATTCTTCCAGCCATGCAGCCCATTCCACAGGCAGGGAAGTTTTTCCCAGCTCAGGCAGGGAAGTTGTTTTTTCCAGAAGAAGGTACCTGTGTTCTGTGTAATCTGGCGCTTGGTAATCATCTGCTTGCACTTAGGATCCATCACTTCACTGTTCTTGTTCTGTTTCAAACACTGCAGCATGTTTTTGGAGTCTGCCTCTGGGCAAAACCGCTAGGAAAAAAAGAGCCCAAACCCCCAATTTCATCAACTTGAAGCAAAAACCAAGAATAACCCAACTATAATTATGGAAGAAAATCACCTGCCCAACCCAGGGGAATACAGACCCATTCCTTAGCCCAAACAGATCCTACTAAAGAGTGCAACATGAGCTGAGCACTGAGCTGACACTCCTGACTGGTTTCAAGGCACCAGTTTGTGCTGGCAGCACCAAAAGCAACTTGCTTCTATTTTCTGTTCTTCAGCCACAGCACACTTGGTAAGAAGTACCCACCAAATCAGGTCTCATCCACAACTACTTTCATTCCCCTTTTATTTTAGAAACTAAAAAGGAAACCTGAAGTCTAGACACACCCTGCTGGTTTATGGACAAAGTGACAGGTGAAGACTTCAACAGGAACACTCAGGACAAAGTAAGACCAGAAGAAGAGAGAACAGCTCACTGAGCCTGATTTGCCCATTCCTGCCCTGAATTAGACAACAAATTATAACAATTATAACTCTTACAAAAAAATTACAGTTCTTGTACTATAAGAATTAGAAGAAAAGTGAAGCAGTTTATCCAAAATTCAGGCCAAGGGACCGATTTCTTTTGTTAAAACAAATTCTGTGAGTGTGAGATGAGGCTGCTGCATCTTCTAAGCCTCACCATTTTGGTGAGATAAGTTTTTCTTATGAAAGCATGAGTCTGTACTGGAGAGCAAGGAGTTCTCCAGATGTTCTGCTCTGGCCACAATATGGAGGAATCAAGGCACACAGACCACACACATCTCAGTGCTCCAGGCCTTGCCATTCTGTCTTAATGTGCAGAAGTGTCTTGTATTAACATTCCCTTCTGCTCTTCACATGGGACCACTTGAATCCAGCATTTCTAATTTGTAGTTTTGCATAATCTTGCCTGCTGGAGCAGCTTGAGGAAAGCCTGAGTGCCCCAGGTCAGCAGTGAGCTGAAGAGGTGACTCCTCTCTGTAATCACAACTTCTTCACCTTTGCTAGAAGCCAACCCAAATCCAAAATGATCAGTGAAAACGTTAGTAGAAGCCTCAGCACAGATTTCCTCCTCAATCTGCTGTCAGCTGGGAAGAAATGTACTAGTGCACAGGCTTTGATGAGATACTTGGAGGAAGTTGAAAGAGAAGAGCCCAGAGGAAACCTCAGCCTGCCTCAGAGTTAAGAAGTGGATTACTTGGCAAAAAAGCAATCCTGCTTCCAAAACAACACAGCAGCGTTGTAACAAACCTTTAGGGGAAGCTCAAAAAAAGCTTAGATCCCAAGCTCACCCTCTTATATCAGTACACTACCATTATTACCTTGATCATCTGCTTGCAGACTCTCATGAGAGTGTAGTCCAGTTCTGGATCCATCATCTCTGTCTCTTGCAGTTTGAACACCTTCTGGTGGCACCGGGTACTCAACTGCTTCTTGACTTCCTTCAGGCATTCAATGATCTGCAACAGCATGACACTGGTTTGTGAGTCACGGAGTGGTTCAGGTTGGAAGGGACCTTCAAGATCATCCAGTTCCAACCCCCTGCATGGGCAGGGACACCTCCCACCAGCCCAGGTTGCTCCAAGCCCCATCCAACCTGCCCTTCAACACTGCCAGGGATGGGGCAGCCACAGCTTCCCTGGGCAACCTGGGCCAGGCTCTCACCACTCTCACAACAAAGAATTTCCTCCAATGTTCAACCTAAATCTCCCTCTTCCAGTTTTAATCCTTTCCCCCTTGTCCTCTCCCTCCCTGCCCTTGTCCCAAGTCCCTCCCCAGCTTTCCTGGAGTCCCTTCAGGTACTGGAAGCTGCCCTAAGGTCTCCCTGGACCTTCTCTTCTCCAGGCTGAACCCCCCAACTCTCCCAGCCTGTCTCCAGAGCAGAGATGCTCCAGCCCTTGGATCATCTCTGTGGCCTCTTCTGGACTTTCTCCAGGAGCTCCATATCCTTATGTTGGGGGCTTGTGGACGTGATAGTCACATGCTGCTCAAAATGCACTGCTATATGTTGCCCTGCAGCCACCTTCACCTGATTCCTGCAGTTCAGTTCTCAATACCTGCATTTTATCAAAAATCATTATCAAAGCTTATTTCCAGGACTTGTTTTAAGCTGTTCATCTCCTACAAAGACTTAATGAACTAAGAAGGGCCACCTGGACTTGCTCCAAACCCCCAAACTTCATCTTGCAGACATCATGGCTAAGAAATTTTGAACAACATTCACGGTGACCAGCTGCTAACAGCTTAAAACTAGGATTAACCAGGGAATGAACTGCTCCCAGCCTTGCAGATACCCAGCACGAGTGCTTGTTAACCAGTGGGGGAAAAAAAATGTGCTCCTAAACACCAACAAAGTATTTCAGGAGTGGCAAAATGAAAATCTAACACTGCAATCAGAGGGGCAAAGGTGTTCCTCAAAGCTGTTCTGAAATCCAGGTACAAATGAAATTGTAAATTATTAATAAAATCCATTACCTGAGCATTGCCATAGGGCACGTTTTGGCAGTGATTCTTGATGTCACTTTTACAAGCCTCATACAGTTCTGGCTCAAGCCTGATATCCTCTGTCTGCAGGAGAAATTACAGTAGGAACTTTTAAATAGGACTCTCAAGACTAGTTCACTTTGGCAACCTATTAACTAGAATCCTCTACTCACAAAAAGCAACTCCCAGGTCAGTTTCTTTGAATTAAAGGGCCAACACCAAGTGGTGTTGAGTGGGAGATCCACTGAATGGATTTCAAAGTTGATCAGCTGGCTTTTTACACTGAAGAAAGGCATTAAACTGAATTCTAGACCTGGCAAATTGTTTCCACTGTTCCTCCTGAAAGAGCATCATCACAAGTGTCCAAGACAGCTAAAATAATTTCATGTGAAAGCTAAAGGACATACTCATAACCACTCATCTTTTGGGTGATCTGGAGGATGTGAAGGAGGATTTCTGCCTTAGCAATGCCCAGCATCTGAATTCCTTTATACAAAGGCAGAAGTGCTGCACTTTCTGCTATGAGCCTACTTAAGGTGAAGCTGTAACACTCAATATCTACTGGACAAAGACCTCCTGAGTTCATCCCTGCAAGCACTGCAGCAGGAAGCTGAGAGGCAACCTTGTCTACCAGAACAAAAACTGCTCTTATTTATCCACTGCGCAACTTGGGGCAGCTGGAGTCAAGTTGCTTCATCTCCGTTTGTTTCCTCAGTTTGTAAAATGATGCTTTTATTCTCTCCTGGAGGACTTCAAGGATATCAGCATGTGTAGCACATTGGTATCTAACACTAAACATAATCACTTAGAGCTGAAATTCCCATGAACATTTAGCTTGCCTTAGCCTCCATAGGGCTGTACTTAAGCAGAGAATTATCACTTTCATCACGAAGGACGATTGAGCCTCGTGTTCTAAGACGAGTGGGGAAGAAAATCCCAAATTAGATCCATCTAAAAATGAGCTTCCTTTTTTTTCTTCCCCAAGGTGGGCATATCAGGAAGCTTTAATTCAAGGACCTGGCTAGAAGAGCAGGGAAATGAAGAGTTTTCTGCACGTTTACCATTTCTAGCTCCTCAACACGCAGCTGCTTGCGGCACTTCAGAGACACCCTGTGCTCCTTGGCGTCCTGCAAGGTGTCGTTGCGCACAGTTGTGCTCAGGCAGATCACCACATCCACCCTGCAGGGAAGGAAACAGCTCTTGACTCACACACCCTCCCCTCAGACCAACCAAAACTGGTGTTGGGTCACCACATCAGGAGGGTTTGACCCCAAGAATCCAAACGTAACCAAGTTCCGTGCTTACTGGGTCCAGCTCTGCGATCCCAATTAAAAGCTATAAGTGATGCTGGCTAATTGGGAGTCTAGAGCAGCAGAGCAGTCTCACCACACCCCTGCTCAGCAAAACCTCTGCTCTTTAAATCATGTGGGTACTTCAGAAAAGCTTTACTTTATCTCAGAAATAGATGAAGGCGGCATGAGAATCACGGAATGTGTGAGGTTGGAAGGGACCTTGAAGGGTCACCTAGTCCAGTCCCCACCCATCAAACGATCCTTTTGCCTTATGAGAAGGGCATTTCTATCATAAAATGCAAATAACTCTTGCTATCCACTAACAGGACTGACCTTGTGTGTAATTCAGCCCTGCATCATTGCTGTAGCCCATTAAAAACCCCTTTATTTTGAAATTAATAAAACCAGTTGCAACAAGTGGGATATGTGCCCTTCCCAGATCAGCAACTGGAACAGTTGGGAGCCTGCATCTTAGAAGACAACGAATCCAGCAAGGATATAAAACATAACAGGACATGCAGTGCCATTAATTATCATTATTAGCTATTTTCAGGGCAAGGAAAATAAAGAGGACAGGCAAGAGTCAAGCAGAAGTCATTTTCAAGAGGCAGATAATGCCTCTGCCTTAAGCATCTGTAGAACACCAAGGGAAACCACCCAAAACAATCAGTCTTTGAAGGAAGTCCAGCATTTTCTGTCCTTCCATGACATATCCCATAACTTTACTACACATTTATACAATCCAATTGCTGGTTGGTCAAGTGTTACATACTTCTTTTTGATGTTGGGGCAAAGTTTCAGCACATCCTCCTTGCAAGCCATTTTGAACTTGTATGAGAACCTAAAATCTTTCATTTGAACCTGGAAGAGAGAAATGAGGGGGAGGGGGGAAAACCAAACACCTTTGGTCACTTGTAGGAAAAGAAATAAATTACAAGTGTGGCCCAAAAGAACATTTGTTGAATCATAAAACCAGCAAATGCTTTTGTCCACTAGTGATTAATGTGGAAACAAAGGGGGATGCTGAAGTGCTGGAGAAGCTGGGACTTGATATGCCAGGAAGGCAGGAGGGCCTGGAAATCAATCATCTCCAGAAGTGACCAGTTATGACCAGACATGCAATTATAACTGTCTAAATTCACAAAATAACAGTGGGAAATCCATCTCCAAGAAGGAGGGGTTTCATAATGAGCTAATTCCTGTCAACACCCTCAAGGAACAGGAGAGGCTTCCACTGTTAGTGCAGGAAAGTGCTGCTTACCAGCTGGAAATGAGTAACTCCGATCGCACATTTTTCATTCATTTCCTTCTGGTGTTTGTTCTGTATTAGACACTCCATCAGGTCCCCAGAATCAATCTGGTTATCTGCAACCTCCTGAAAAAGAGAGGGAAAGGCTGACAAATGACCTACTCTTAACAAGTCATGGTTTCCATGCTCCTCTAGCCCAGAGTGACCAGGAAATACGAGAACTTACAGTCCCACGAACGGACCACGGAAAGTTGTACCAGGAATATTTACAGCTATAGCCCAGAAAAGAATCCTCTCCCTGGCACGTGCACAGTTCAGACTCAGAGCACACACTGCAGACACTCACTGCTTACACATTGCAGTGAGATGCCTTCCCTGCTATGTAACTTACTCAGCCCTGAAGCAAACCAGGCAGTTATCTCAGCCATGCTGAGCAGCTGCACAGAGGTGGGGCTGGAAGCCCTGCCTGCAGGCAAGGGGGAGGGCAGAAAAGGTTTAGCTTTTCACCCACTGGAAAGAGCAATTTTTCCAATTACAGGGCAATTTCCACCTTCAAATTCTAGCTTTTAGCTGAAGGCTCTGACAACAGCAGAGTTATGAGATGGAACTAAGGATTTTTGGTTTATGGTGGCTTTTTTTTTTCTTTATGAGTGACTTTTCTAACTGCTTACACCTGGACTTTTGAAGTGTGGCAAGTACAGCAAGAACTCATCCCTAAAAAACTCCAACCTTTCCCATACTGTGTTTATTTCCCCCCAGAGCTATTCACACTATCCCACAGTACTCACATGGCAGAATGTCTGGATAATGGGCTCACATGCCCTCATCAGCAAGGCTTCAATTTGGATGTCCTGCAAAAAACATGCAAGATTTCATTCTCACAGGGAACGGCCAAGAAAAAAAGGCCCTGAAAAAACCCCCATGATAACAAGTTAAACTCAAGACAGTTAACAGGGTTTCAAAATTGCAATCCAGCCAGCTTTGTCTTTCAGTTCTGGAAATCCTAGGATTCCTTTTTGTCAACAATGTGGCAAAGAGAAGCCTTACAGCTCCAGGGAAGAGCCAGGTCTCCAAAGAAACCATTGCTTGGTTATTTCAGCCAACCTTCTCCAAACTGGATGCTAAAGCACTAGAAATCACCTTGTGCCCAGGCAGGAGTTAAGGATGAATCATCATTCTGAACAAATAATTTTGTAGCCAGTAAAAGGAAGCTTTCCCTAGGGCACAGTGTAAGTTTTAAGAGGTATGGGGAACAATCTAGGGCAAGGCAGTCAAATATACAGCTTCATAAAATAAGCCAAGCTGCTGACCTCACTGAAAACCTCTCATGATGCACCTGACACTTACTTCTTACTAATTTTTTGGGACAGGGGGAGGGAAGTTGCAATGTGGTACTCAAAACTACCTGCAAGCAAGACCAAAAAAATTGAAGTTCTGTGAAAGATTTTGATTTGTACTAAAGGTACCTGGGTTACCTGGATAAAAAAGCTTCTGTGCCAGAAGTTATTTTAAGCAAGAGAAATGTCAAGAACAGCCTAAAATCCTGAATCACTGTTCAATTCTCTTCCTCAGAAACCCCACAAGAAAACTTGCAGTGTAAGATGGTCTCTGACCCCAGAGAGCTGCATTTCTGCAGCTGCTCTAGCCTCCCTTTTTTTCCATCACTATCAGGATGACATGGTAACTAGACATGCCCAACTATTCCTTTTATTCCAGGCTGAAAACCACTCACCTCAGACTCCAGCTCAGTGAGGTTCCCAACTATGTCTCTGCAGTCAGACACCAAGTCATCAAGATGGTCCTGCAGGCATTCCAGCTCCTACAAAACCAGACATTTCACTGTGTGATCCAAGAACCCAACTGGATAATTTGAGCTTGAAATACTCTAACCTAGGTGAAACTGCCCTCCTCCTTGTAAAGTCCTAAATCTCATTTAATCCCACTCCTCTACTGGCACTCCTAAAACACATAGCAGTGATTGAGAATGTTGGTCTAGGAAGTCACCCCTTGCTCTCAAAAGCTGCATGATGTGCCTTCACTTCTGGAATATCACATTTACTTTGCCCTTCACATAACCATAATCAGAGGTTAATTACCCCAACTACAACCTAGATAGATACCTCAAAATGGTGGATGTCCTACTGCATTTGCTGCTGAATGGCTCCTCCCCTCCAGCCACTCTGGGGCAGAGCAAATTAACATGAGAGTATTTGTTGCAACTTTGTTAAGTAGTAGCAGATGTTAGTTCAGTTCTGTAGAAACACAGGAAGCCTGGCAGCACTTGCCAAATGGAAATGGGATAAAGTTTATGTGGGAAATGTCAAGCTTATAACAAATTCACAAATAAGAGCAAGGGTGGGGTTGCTTCATTAATGTCTCCTTCTTGTTAACTATCTCCTTTCCTCCTTCTCATTCTGCTACACAGGTGGCTGCCCCATCCCTGGCAGTGTGGAAGGGCAGGTTGGATGGGGCTTGGAGCAACCTGGGCTGCTGGGAGGTGTCCCTGCCCATGCAGGGGGGTTGGAACTAGCTGATCTTTAAGGTCCCTTCCAACCCAAACCAGTCTGTGATTTTATGATATTGAAGCCATGCAAAGCTTCTTTGTATCACCTCCAGCTCTCAGTCTAGGAGATTATGTTTCAACCTGCATGAGTTGTTAACATATTCTCAGAGGGTAAAAAATGTTCCTTTAACCCCTTTTTTTTTGCCCTTCCCTGTATCTGAGCAGTGTTCCTGTGTCCAGTACCTGCCCCGTCTCAGTTTTCTCACTGCACCACTTCCCCAGGTCAGTCATGCACTTGTCCTGCAGGGCTGGGTCCAGCTTCACATCCATGGCACGCTGGTGGAGGATCCTCTGCACCTCTGCTCTGCACTCCCGGGATAGCTGCCAAGAAAGCCAAGAGCATTTACCAGGTGGAGTCTTGAAATCTGCCCAACTTTTGTGGTTACTCTCACCACCTCACCTGTCGTTGATGCTGATGTGTCGAGAGTGACCACAAATGCCATCAGCACTTGCAGAAAGCTCAGAATTCACCCCCACCACAAGCCACCTGGGCTCCAAGAGAGTTTGGAGCTCTGTAATTTCATGTAGAGGAAGGTTCCTTTCATTCCACTAAAATAAACCTTATGATCTTTAAACCTTCAACTTTTGCTTTTGAAATGAGATGTCCAAGCAGCTGCCATGGATTATCTTCTTCTGGGGAAGAAAATCACAACAGCCCAAGCTCTCAAGACCAAAAGGGAGGCCCAGAATAAGGCAACACAGACCACCTGTAATTTCACCTCAGCAATCCCCAGCATTTGCAAAGGCTGAGGGAGAAACAAATTGTAGGAAATCAAGGGATACTGACACGGTGCTTGTCCAACCTGAAGCTTAAAACTTCTCACATTTAAAAATGCAACCCCCTGGAAGTCACCTGGCATTTTGTGGGCAGCATTGGAAAAAGAAAAAGTACAGATCTAACCTCTAATGAGTCTGCTTTTCACACACTGAATTTCAAAATGGCAGCTGCTCTCTTAGCCTACTTTCCACAAGAAAAGCACATTGAAGAGCCTTTTCTCCCTCTGATAGACTATTTGCAGGTTGCCTATTGATTTCTTTGGTCAGCACTAACAGAAAATGGAATTTAAAAGTCTCAACTCAGCAGACTGAGAAGCTGCATTAAAAAAAAAAAAATCCCTAAAAGAAAGATGCTTTCAATCAATACTTGACCTCTGCCACAAAAGACCTTTTAAATCAAGCTGTAGAAATTAATTTTTAAGGGAGGCCATTGTGACAACTCACCAGCTCCTAGGGCTGTGTACACTACAGTGCCAAAGAAAAGGAACCAAGCACCCAGCTGCTTTCAGGGGGGTGCCAGGATAGAGGCAAAAGGGCAGGAAACTTGGAAAAAGGTAGCTCTGAACCAAACAAATGTCATGATGGTGGATCTCCAGATTGCAAGGCAGCAAGTCAGATCCCTACTGCCTTCCATGCAGCATAACCACAATCACCAGTAGAGTGTGCTCCAAAGAATTAGAAAGATGCTGTAAATCAATAGGAAGAATATAATGGGTTATAATCAGAAGTACCCAAATCCAAAATGAATGAGGAACAGCCTAGAAAAGCTGGGCTTGGAACTCCTTTTTGCATAAAACCCATTTTGCAGCTATGCTAGCTGTCTACAAGGAATCACATTCCTCGTTGGAAAGACAAGGAGGAGGATCTGCACTAGATCTAAACAGAAAAGAGTCATAGAGCAGTCAGGGCTGGAAGGGATCTCTGAAGGTCCTCTAGTCCAACTCCCCTGTAGAGCAGGATCACAAACAGTAGATCCCACAGGAACATGTCCAGGTGGATTTGGAATGCCTCCAGAGAAGGAGGCTCCAAAACCCCTCTGAGCAGCCTGTGCCAGGGCTCTGTAACTCTTGTTAGATATACCCAAGGTGTTGTCAGCACATAGTTCCCCCTGCAGGCAACTACTGTCACACCTTGACGTGGCTATTTTGCCTCACCAGAACACCACAAACCTTCCAGGCACACTTGAGGAGGACAACCAAAGCAGTCAAGTACCACCTGCTTCAAGTGCTTTCCAGCAGCTTTGGTGAGTTCTTGTGGTTTGAGCGCAGTCATGTCCAACCTCCCAGCGTAGGTTCAACCCTCCTGCCAGAGATCAAAGAGCAGCAGTTGCTCTCCAGCACTTACCCTCCTCCCTTGCTCCTCTGTACGGTAGGCATGCCTGTACAAGCAGGAGAAAACAGCCCCTGGAGGCATCAGATCACTCATCATGGTCTCATTCCAGCCACGGGTATGGCAGAGGCGGGAGGCGTCTCCCTGGCACTTGCGGTACAGGACGGTATCCAGCCTGCAGACAGAGAGGTCCTCACTAGCACCTCATCCAAACCTCCAACCTGCCTCATATTCTGAAATGCTTTTGAGGCAGAGAAACCCAATTGCAGTTCCATGCACCACCCACTTCAGCTAACCAACAGGTGGCAAAACACTTGCCACTCCATTTGGAATCAACTCCCTAACGCTGCACAAATACACAAAGATCTTTCATTACAGGTTCCACCTTCAACACTTCTTGAAGCCCCTCCCGTGTTCTCCTGCAGCACACCAGCCAAATGCTGACTCAGGAAAAAGAGAAATCAGCCCCTTGATGTCCCTAAAGCAGCAGGAAGGGAGGCAAGTACCACGTTTTGCTTGTATGACATTCTCCATGCATTTTGTGCTGCTGCCATTTTGAAACGCCAGTTTCACAAAAATCTGGCTTAATTATGGGCTGCCCTGGGTCTGAGCTAACTGAAGACTCAGCACCCTTTGTGTTTTTGCACACCAGAAAACTGCAGAACCTTTCAGATGATGTCTAATTACATTGAAGCTAAGTGAGATTATTGCCAACTTTTCAAAATGGAAGCGTCGTTTTCCACCACACTTTAGAAGACAAACACCAAGTGGCATCAGTGGACACAATTACACAGAGAACGATAAAAAAGTCAGAAGAAATCCCTCCCTCCTCCATTCATCTGTGCTAGGCACACATTTATGCAACAGTTTTTGTAAGGCAGTTTTAGGGAACAGTGGTTAAACAAGAAAAATGAGCCAATGTTGCCCAGCCCGCAACATGAATGAGAATTATCTTTATTCCCAGCAAAATGAAAATACTCAGCCTTCCTTCTTCCCATCACTTAAGTTTGGTGAAATCAATTAATTACCTGTTGGAAATATGACACAAGCAGGAGTGAAGGGAAACAGGAAGAGAAGGGAAAAAGCAAACAACCTAGAGGGTTTTTATCTCCCTATGGAGGCAGTTGTTGAGATGACTAAACAGTCACAAAGCCCTGAACTCTGGTCATGGATTTGAAAAGCAGAAGGTTCACAGGGCATGTCAGCTCTTAATTCCTGGCCATGCTGCCCAGAAATGAGTCAGATCTTCCTCATGTTTGATTGGAATACCCTTTGCAGTAACCTTGCCTTGCACTCCCTGTGGTCACCAAGAACCATTATTCCACTTCTTGAAGTAACCCTGTTTGATGGATCCTCTTTCCTCACCTCTCAGTCTTCTCCAGAAGAAAATCCCAAAACTTATTCTTTCCTCACTGGTCCTGTTAATCAAATTTATCCTCTCCTCATCTGAATCCATCCAGATACAGGCTCTGTATATATTTTAAACCAAGCAGTGCCACCTTTGGATGAGAAAGCTGGCAAAGCAGTGCTCCAAAGGGCATCACACCTGCTCTCCTGGCTGGAATCACATCTAGAGAGTCTGAAAACAGGCAGAAATGGAAGCAGGGATCCTCTCACACAATGGCTCTTTGTTATATTCAGTAGCTTGGCTTTCTTAACTCCCATATTGTAGCACTTAGAGCAGATAAAACCAGCCGCCACCTGCACAGAAAGTGACCTTCAACTTCAGTAAGGCCAGAGAAACTTATTTTCATTAAAGATGCATTGAATTTGAGACATCAAACTGGAGATGCTCTGTAGAGCTGCATGACTGGTGCACATCACACTTCAGTTTTTCTAAGCAGCTTTTGATCCTACTATCCCAGAGAGTCATTAATGCCTACAGACCTGCTTAAAAGTCCTCTTTTGAACACATATGCCCAAGGAACTGTTTATGGATACAAACACCAAACACAAGCACCAAGTGAGGATAAAATCATCCTTTCCAGTACTCACTTCCAATCACGAGATATAAAATACTGGAGCTCCAGGAGCCTATGCTCACAGTCCTCCACCATCTTCTCAGTGTACAAGTGCTCCATCAGGCAAGACAGAATCCTGCAAATAGAAGAAAAAACCAAAAGTTAGGACGTGGTGTTATAGCCATGCTGGGCTTCCTTGGAACAGTGCTCCAGATCAGCCTTTCCACTGCACCATAACTAAGGTGTTCAAACACAGTGAAGCTGTCTCTCATCCTTCAAAAAGATTACACCTAAACCACCTGTACACCACATCTCTACCCTCTTGAACTCTAGTGTTCTAGTTATGTCAGCAAGGCTGATATATGACAAAATAATCATCATCATCATAGAATCAACACAGACTGGTTTGGGTTGGAAGGGACCTTCAAGATCATCTATCTCCAAACCACTGTATGGGCAGGGACACCTCCCACCAGCCCAGGCTGCTCCAAGCCCCATCCAACCTGCCCTTCAACACTGCCAGGGATGGGGCAGCCACAGCTTCCCTGGGCAACCTGGCCCAGGCTCTCACCACCCTCACACCAAACAATTTCCTCCTCATGTCCAACCTCAATCTCCCTCTTCCAGTTTTCATCCCTTCCCCATTGTTCTCTCCCTCCCTGCCCTTGTCCCAGGTCCCTCCCCAACTTTTTGGAGCCCCTTTAGGTATTGGAAGGCTGCTAGGAGGAATATTTAATAATAAGCAATGTTGTATAATCAGGAATATTTTCTATAAAATCTGTGTCAGGATACAGTATCTATCAGACCTGAAGACAAAGAAGACACTTGTCTCTGCAACATGAGTTTATGTGGCCTTTTAAGGCTTGTTACTTTGCTAAAGACTTCTGTAGTAAGAGAAATGAGCACATTAAATGTTACAAATTTAATCCCAAGTGCCTGAGATAGCTACATCCTTCACTGCCCTGTTAAAAACAAACTAGCCTGCTGATGCTGCAAAAAGGAATCATAGAAGGGACCACAGAAGGTTGGAAGGGACCTCGAAGATCATCAAGCCCAACCATAACCCAGAGCTCAGCGAACACCTCTGCAAGACTTGTGAGTTCGGAGTCTGTTCTTTATGGATGGCTTTTATTACCTACACTGGTCAGTCAAGACAACCTTCATGGGTGCCCCAAGAGAAGCAAAGCTCCACTGCACCCCAGAGCCACCTACATGGGGTCCCCAGAGCGGATGTGCTTGCAGGCAGTCTGGATCACCGACTCGCAGGCCTCGTTCAGCGCCCGGTCGATGCGGTAATCGGCGCCGGGGTCCGTCTCCTGAATCAGGGTTTGGAGCTGGAAGAAAAGAAATTGTTGTGGATAGGAAAGCAAATTTGTAAGCATCCAAAGTGAGCATGCTTGCAATCAGTGTGGCTATTCTATGGCATGAATCACACGAGGTAGGGACTGGAGGCTGAGGGAACTGAGAACTTCTTGTTCTCTACAACTCTCCAAGAGGAGGTCGGAGCAAGTGGAGTCTCTTCTCCCTAGTGACAAGCAACAGAACAAGAGGAAATGGGCTCAAGTTGCACCAGGGAAGGTTCAGATTAGGTATCAGAAGTTTCTTCATTGAAAGGGTCATTAAAGATTCAGATTAGGTATCAGAAGAAGTTTCTTCATTGAAAGGGTCATTAAAGACTGGCCTAGGCTGCCCAGGGAGGTGGTGGAATCCACATCCCTGGACGTGTTTTAAAGCCACGTAGATCTGATGCTGAGGGACATGGGTTAGCACTGGACTTGGTAGAGCTGGGGTAATGGCTGGGTGAGGTGGGATCTTTCCCAACCAGGGCAGTTCTGTGACTCTGAGGTGCAGGGTGCTCTGTGTGCTGGGCAGAGGGCAAGGAACTGGCACACCTGGGCACACCATGGATCTGACTGTCCTCAGCTGTGCCTGTCCCTGCCAGAGCAGACACGGATGAATGGTGCAACACCAGGCAATAAGCTCTGAACCCTCATTATCCTCAGGAAGCAGCCCAGGAACGTTGGGCAAGACCAGTTGCACACCAAAGATCAACTGTACACCTGGACCACTTGTATTCCAGTTGACAAAATGGAACTGGCAAAATCTGAATACTATATTTCTGACCCATCCTCATCCCATATGGCTGATGATAAACCTGGAAATTTGTCCCACTTCCATGAAGATGACCTGCTGTTCTACACTGAAACCCAAATCAGTGTTTAAAGACCAGTCGCCCAACTACAAACAAAGCTTAAAACCATGTTTTAATTGTCTGGAAGGGACACAAAAGTTCTGTTGAAATACAGGATAAAATGGCCCATTCTGCTGGCCCAGGGAATCCCAATTCCTCAGGATATGCCTGGTCTAGCTTTTGGAAGCAAGGGCAACCAGAATTTGGTCTATATTAAACAACTTTTAATATGTAAAAAGATAAAACTATGTGATGATTACATATAATTTTAAAACTATATAAAACATCATATATATATGACCCAGTCTGGCTTTCAAAGAACCCACATCACAAGGCAACATGTTTAGAGAGAAATCAGTGCTCCTACCCCCCCTCCCAGCAGCCAAGGGAGAGAAAAGCTTCTTACTGCCTGCTGACAGGTGAGCCCCACGTTGCCCTTTTCTCCCCGGACGACCTTCATCAGGCAGTGCAGGGTGCGGCCCTTGCGGTGCAGGCCCGAGCAGTGGTGCTCGATCTCCCCTCGGCAGCTCAGGATGATCTCTGGGCTCAAGGAGAAGTCCTCCATCAGCATCCTTCGGTAATCCAGCATCTCCCCCTGGCACTCACTGCTCACCTGGCGGCCTGAGCAGAGAGGAGACAAAAGGAGTTGATATTTATGCTTTGCAGAGTTCTACTCGACACGTGGCACCATCCCGCTGGTTGAAGAGGGATGATGTCCCCATCCCTGGCAGTGTTGAAGGGCAGGTTGGATGGGGCTTGGAGCAACCTGGGCTAGTGGGAGGTGTCCCTGCCCATGCAGGGGAGTTGGAACTACATGATCTTGAAGGTCCTTTCCAACGCAAACCATTCTATGGCCACACTCTGGACAACATCAGACTGCAAAACATGTTCTGGAGCAGATGTACTGGGATTAACTCAGTTGTTATGTGGAGTAATGTGTCCAGTTCTGGAGCCTCCAACATAAGAAGGACATGGAGCTGTTGGAGTGAGTCCAGAGGAAGCCATGGAGATGATGGGAAGGCTGGAGCAGCTCTGCTCTGAAGACAGGCTGGGAGAGTTGGGGTTTCAGCCTGGAGAAGACAAGGCTCCAGGGAGAACTTAGAGCACCTTCCAGTGCCTGAAGGGGCTCCAGGAAAGATGGGGAGGGACTTGGGACAAGGGCAGGGAGGGAGAGGACAAGGGGGAAGGGATTAAAACTGGAAGAGGGAGATTGAGGTTGGACATGAGGAGGAAATTGTTTGGTGTGAGGGTGGTGAGAGCCTGGCCCAGGTTGCCCAGGGAAGCTGTGGCTGCCCCATCCCTGGCAGTGTTGAAGGGCAGGTTGGATGGGGCTTGAAGCAGCCTGGGCTGATGGGAGGTGTCCCTGCCCATGCAGTGTTCCTCCCAGGCTCTGACTCCTGCACGAGCCACGTGCTGCAGAACCTGTCTCACCGTGAAAGTGGAAGTTAATCCCAGCAGTTTTCTGCGTGTAACTCAGGGAAAACACTTGCCTGACTGCAGGGAGAAGGAAAACCAAAACCCAACCAACCCACAACCAGCACACAGAATTTCCACATCAATGAGAGTTAGTCAAGCTCACAGACACACTGACTGTGTGCCCTGGAAGCTTGTCCCTTTGGTGCCAAGGCTATGCAGTCCTGCTGCTGAACTCCACCCCATCCAGCTGCACACCAAGGGGGAACACAAACAGCTGTCCAGTGCAGCTCTAGAGGATCTAAGGCGTTGTTTTACTTGTTATGGTTATTTCAGAGAGAATCTTTAGCATGGTCCTATCATAGAAGACCCTCTAATGTCTTTAGGATAGCTGCTGTTGTTAGGACATCTCCAGCTTACACCAACTTAAATGAAGAAATACAATATTCCCACCTTTACTGTCCTTCTATATGAGAAAAACTGGAGTTAAAGAAATTAAGGCATTTACCCACGTTACTGGAACTGCAAGGAAGGAGCATGACTTACAAGAGGCAGAGACTGAGTATCCCTGGTGTGATGATGAACAGGTTCTCTATTCTGCATTTTAACCTAGTAGCATATTTAATGCTTACTACACAAAGGAGGAAAAAAGCTGCTTGAATTCAGAGTGAACTGAAGGATTTGCAATTACAAACCATCAATCCAAGTGGGATTTGCTCTTCTGCATTTTAAACACCTTGCCCCCACAACAGGAATCAGTGTCAGAGGTTTACTCAGCTGTTCTGATCCTCAAAAACAAAGGTGATGGAAGTGTTATGATGAGGAAATCTGCCTCTGGAGCAAAGTTTGGAAAAGGCTATTGGAGAAGGGGACTATAAATGCAAGTTGAAGCTGAAGATCCAACAGAAACCTTAGAAAGAGCAACCAAGCTGGTGAAGGGTTTAAAGAACAAATCCTGTCAGGAGAGGCTGAGGGAACTAGGATTGTTTAGTTTGGAGAAGAGAAGGCTGAGGGGAGACCTCATTGCTCTCTATAGCTCCCTGAAAGGAGGCTGGAGTGAGGAGGCATTGGGCCTCTTCTCCCAAGTGACTAATGACAGGACCAGAAGTTGCACCATGGGAGGTTTAGACTGGATATAAGGAAGAATTGATTTACTGAAAGAGCAGTCAGACCCTGGCACAGGCTGCCCAGGGAGGTGGTGGAGTCACCATCCCTAGAGATAACCAAGGAATGTGGCACTTTAGGACATGATCTAGTGGACATGGTGGGTCTTCTGTGGGTTGTGTGGTGTTGGGTTTGTGAGGTGTGTGGCTGTGGGTTGTTTTTATGTTGTTGTTGTTTGTTTGGGTGGGATGTGTTGTTCCTTCCTCCTCCCATTGGATGGACGGTTGGACTAGGTGATCTTAAGGGGCCTTTTCCAACCATGACAGTTGTGTGATTCTGTGAAATCAAGGTCCCAGCAAGTCAACACAGCTCTTGATTGAGCTCCACTTACCTCTGTGCACAGCAGACTCCAAGCACATCAGGAGGTAGGAGAGCCTGGCTTCCCGAGACCGGGGAAGGTTCTCCACGTTGCAGCGGTACTTCTTCAAATCGCTTTTACACGACTTGGCCAGAGAGTAACTGACTTTGTAGTCTTGGGCAATCAGCTTCTGGCGGGTTGTCAGAGCATCACGACACTGCAAGGGACACATTGGGATGGCTGAAGGAGCTTCCACGTGCTGTTGGCAAAGAGCTAGACCTGCTGCTGCTACGTTTTCAAGCTGTCTTTCCAAAGAGGACTTGGCGCTTTCAGATTTTTGGGTTTAAGCTGGAGTGAAACTTCACTGGTCTCAGAGAAACCACAGAGCTAACAATGCACACTGAGGTCAGCAGATCAAGGGGTTTCAAAGGCAGCAGCTCTCTGCAGAGCACTTCTTAAAACTGCACATTCATCCAGCTTTTTGTGCAGAGCTACAGCTGAGAGCGTGACTCATGCCTGGTAACCAGGATCAGTTGCTGACATTTATCCCAGCTGTGGAACACACCCCATGCCCTCAAGAAACAACTTTTCCCAGCCACATGTACCAAAGTGGGTGTTCTTTGGATCTTTCTGCAATGTGCCCAGCAGATGACAGCAGATGAAGCAGGCTAACAATGGGATTTTCTAGCTATTTTCCACTCATGAGGATGCACTGTGGCCAAACCCAAACCCAGCAGCTGCAAGAGCAAGCCTTTCAATTGCAGCCAAAAAAGGGCCTGTAAAGACACTGCTCATGCTGCTCAGCTTTTGGTTTAAATTAAATGAAAATTAAATCTGAGGATGGCAGATAATTCTGAATAGGCTCAGGCTAATATGGCTATTCTCAGCCTATTTGAAAGGAAGAAAAACTGCATAGGGAGAACAGGGAGCAATCTTGGAACAAGCTCTCTCCCCTTCCCTACATCAGGGTTATGATTTTTCTCCCCCTCCTTCCCATAACTACTCAGGGACATGGAAAGCCCCAGCCCAAGATATTCCCACCTGTTCCTCCATGGTCCTATCTCTGTATCATGACTGAGACCTTGGGACTGCACAGAATTTAAGCTCCAGACACACAGAGCTACGGGCTCACAAACCCCAAAGCAGGGGAAGGTGGGATAGGGCCAGGAAGCCCAGCCTGGTGAGCAGGTTTGGATCACACAAGGGAAGACACCCACCAGGCAGCTCTTGGTGGCCATGTGTATGTGTGTGCAGCAGCTGCTGCTGCCAGCAAGGAGGGGGTTTTGACTGGGAAACAGCTTCCACAAAACCTGTGACCTTGCAGGTGGTCCAACCTTGGCAGCCACAAGAGTCAGAACCAGCTCTTGTGTTCCTCCTGCTCTGCAAACTGTGTCCTCACAGCATTCCTTCCCCTCTGCCTACTAAGTCTTTGCTACAGCTTTGTCTAACTTCTCAGCATCTCACATTGGCATCTCAGACAGCTGACCATGGAGAAGACCTTTCAAAACCCACTACAACCAAAAACAGGTTAAGCAAAGCCTATTTCAGCAATGAGTCTGTACAACTGAAGCCTTGTTTCAGGCCCTTGGGGATCACTCTCAGTTTTGAATTTGTTAATTGGAACTAAGCTCTCAGATAGCTAATTCATTTAAAGAGAAGGAAATCAGTCTGATCCCTCCAGGCCTCTGAATCAAGCTCCCTTCAGCAGAGCTTCTCAGAGAAGGGCTTTACAGATACCCATCTTTGTATCCTTGCAGACAGATGATGTAATTCCACATAATCCCAAACACTGTGATGCTGCTTCCAAAACTCACTGAAGCCATTGCTGCCTTCCCAAAACACCTACACCAAATACAAACTCTTTTCAGGACTGGCTTTCCAGAACAACTTTTTTTCCCTGTGGCTGCAAACACCATCCTTCAGGAAATAAAAAGGAGGAAAACTGTGGTAACTAACTATGCAACTTTCCCATAGAATTTGCTGTGTCATAGTCAGACAATCACAGCCTTGAAAACAAAAGTGCAACACACACAGCTTCCTGTGCTGGGGCACGTGGCTATTTTGTTTCTCATCTGTGTGTTATGACAGCATTTATCCAAGGCTTACCCCAGCATGGATGGTATCACTCCATCACAGTGCCACTACTTGAGCTCTACTTCTGCCTTTCCAAATTACTCATCCCCAAGCTTTGATTTATTTCAGTCCTTAACTTTAAATGCTCTAACTTGAGTACAATTAATTCAAGCCCTCAGCACGTAGCTGGAAACACAAACATATCAAAGTAAAAGCATCTGTTCAAGCAGTCAGTTATCCCAGCACGTAGGTGATGGATTCTCCTCAGCACTGGAAAAGAAGAATGTAGCCTGGACTGATGAATGATGAAGGATGTGTCTCACCAAGACAGATACCCACCTTTTCACTCATTGATTCTTCAAACTTGTGATTAAAGAGGCACTTGTAGACTCGGCCTTCCCCAGCCTGAGTCTGTGGAACAGAAAAGTAACAGTTACCATTAAAGATAAGCAGCATGATGCTTAATGAGCATCACACCTGAAGAGATTTCTTTTTTAAAATAGAAATATATCAAAGTTAGTATTTCAAATGAGTAATAGCTTCTCTACCATAAAAGTCTTTTACATTTTACTGCATTAAAAAAAAAAAAGTGGTTGTGTTCATCACCCTTTCAGTGAGAAGAAGTTCAGTTGATACAACTGACCCATAGAGCTTCCCAGCTCCTTGCTGCTCCAGGGTCACGGACACATCAGGCTAACCTGGAGCAACAGCTTTACAGCTGCAAGAGGCAGCAGCATGTACCTTTGGTGTCCCTTCTCCATCATCTCACTCCCTGTCACACCAGCTCTGCTGTCCATTAAACCATTTATGCCAATTCAGTTCACTAACCCACTGGGAAAAAAATGCTTGTTTATTGAGTGAATTGAAGACCAGATTTCTTGCAAAGTAACAGCCCTGAGGCCTCTGTTTTCAGTCCTACACAACCTTGCTCAGGCTCCAACCTCCTGTTTCATTCTCTTAACAATGGGGTTTTGGTTTCTGAATGGATTGGTGTAGAAGAGAAGGCAAGAGAAAACTACTCACATTTTCACAGAACCGTTCTCTGTCATCTCTGCAGGCAAAGTAGAGATGCCTGTCCAGGTGGAAGTCATCTGAAGAGAGTTCAGCCACACGAAGGATTGCTTTCTTACACTGATCAGAAACCTGAACTCGAGGGTCATTCTCCTCTGCCTCTTTTACCAGGCCTTTCTCCAGACATGCCACCACTTCTCCTTGGGAGTGGGCATCCTAGATGAGAAGAACACGGCACCATCTGTAACCAAGCACTTCCCTAACCAAGTGGTGTGTGACTCTGGATAAGCACCACAGAAATTAAGCACCACAGAAATTAAGCCCCAAACTGTCTGTACTTAGACTTCCAAAACCCATCCTAAACTGCATTTATTTTCAGAGGAGAGAACAGTTAGTAACTGTAGCCACACACTTCATACATCACCATCCTGCTGATGGTCTCTGTGAAACCCCCCTTCCCTTCAATGCTCTGGGTCTGTTTTAATGTGGCTTTAATTAGATTATCACTACTTAGCCACACTGCTCAAAGCAGTTTACCAAAATGGTCAAATTATCTTTAATCTGACATAGCTCTCTTTGCACCATGGCAACAGCATCACATTGAGAACATACTTGGGGGAGAGAAAAATCATAGTTCCTCCATGCAGAGACAAGCCTTCAGTTGGGGTGGTGATAATTAGTGATGGTAAAAAGGCTGCAAAGGATCTTTGACCCATGTTGGCTTCTCAGTGCTAACTGATCCATTAAGAGACTAATAAAAAGTCACAGCATTCAAGGGTAAGTGAAGCCTCAAAGTGATTCTGTTCCAGTACTGTGCACCACTTTCACTGTCCTACCAGCCTGAAGACAACTTTAGATTATGGCCATCAAATCTAGGGAGCCTGTGCTGTGTATGAAAGCCTGGAAGAGGCAGGGTGAAGCTGATCAAAGCTCCATTTAGTTTCCTACACCCTTCTCATATGTTTAGAATCCCCTCTGTAGACGATCTGATTCCCCTAATAAGCAAGAACTCTTCTGGGACAGACCTCCCAAGGCTTCTGGCAAGCTTCTCCTCTGAAGACAACCTTAATTTATGCTGCAAGAGGATATTGCTACTGAACTTGTATCAGACTACGTGGAGTATACAACAAGGAATCATCCATCTGAATTCACTCAACCTGACATCTGCAGGTGTCAGAGTTGTGGGGGTCAAAAGGGACCTCTGGAGATCATCTAGTCAACCCCCTGCCAGAGCAAGATCACCTACAGTAGATCCCACAGGGACACATCCAGGCAGGTTTGGAATGCTGCCTGCATTAGCTATGCTGAGGTAGACAGGGAAAGACAGTGCCTTGAAAATCACAGAATGGTTTCAACTGGAAGGGACCTTCAAGATCATCTAGATCCAACCCACCTGCATGGGCAGGGACACCTCCCACCAGACCAGGTTACTCCAAGCTCCATCCAACCTGCCCTTCCAACAGTTCCAGGGATGGGGAAGCCATCTTTCTTGAGAAAGAGACTCCACCAACCTCTCTGGGCAGCCTGTTCCAGGGCTCTGTTACCCTCACAGGAGCCTGTGTCAAGTAGGTTCATCCACTGCTGCTGCAGCAGAGTGAGTGAGAGAGCAGCCTCCATAAAACACAACTATGACTATTCAAAGCCATGCAACCCTTCCAAATCTCTTTGTTCTGACATGTCTCCTCTGTCAGGCAGCCTTTCATTCCTGTCTTAACTCTGCTACGCTTGGAGCACAAGAAGAATGGGACCATTACAAAGCTGTGAAGGCAACCCAGAGGTATAATCAGTTTAAAAGGGCTAAAAATAGTCTTATCCTTGAAAAAAAGGCAAAAAACTCCAAACTCACACACCCCAAACCTCCTGATTTTGGTTTGCTCTTTCCTTGGAGTGGGAACTGGCCAAATCCACACGCTGGCCAGATTATCAGCATCTTTGAAGAAACAGAATTAAATATCAACAGCTCCTCAGGACTGACCCCAGAAAGTATCTGAGGAGTACTAGTTAGCAGTGTGTGTTCACCACATGACTGAAAGTTGCCATTTACCCATAACCATGCCAAACACAAACACCGTTCCACAAATCCCCATGGTCAGGAGTTACAAATGAGGAGATGACAAGCAGAAATTCTGGAAAACAACCATTTTAAAGTTCCTCTGGCAGTTTTTTTGCTCCAGCCTAGGTAAGATTGCAGCTGGGAGGCAGGGCAGACCAAGAGTCCTCTCACTCACCTGCAGCCTCCCCTTGCAAGCCAGCGAGGAGGGCACAAGGCAAGCTTTTCCTGCTAGAAAAATCAGAAGTGTCCTGGTTTCTTGCAGAGTGGGTCTAGATTCCTGATCAGAGTAACACAATCTATGAAAGTAAATGTCTTTTTAACAGTCTAGTGAAAGCAGATTTCCATATGCTGAGTGCTGAATGTTTACTGCTGCATTTCAGGGACACAACATGAAATGACTCATTTATTGCTTTGCAAATAAAATGCTTACATTTGGGTAGATCATCCTGCAGTGCTGGCTACTCTGCTGCCCTGTGCTAGAGCAATCTTAGAACATGTCAGACTTCACAGAAACACCCACAGGCCAACAGAGCTGGCTCCTGAAGGATGCAGTCCTGCCCTTTCCTCCTAGCACCAAGCATTTCCATGTGGTGCCATCAGTGCTCCTGTGCCCACTTGACACTGTTTGGGAGATTTACTGACCTAATCTGGGCTTCATTTTTGGGCAGATCAGGCCCCTAAGTGCTGGCACTGACTAGTTAAGCCAGCTTAAGGAGGTCCTTACTCATCCTTCCTACAAAATAGCACAAAGGCAGCCAAACTACTGGCCCAACAGAGCATAGATGGGACCTTGTGAATGTGGTTTAGAGAAATATCACTTCAAGTTTTAATTACAGGCCAACACCTGCTGCATTTCAGGTTGCACAATCTCTTACTGCAGACTGGAGAGGAAAAGAGACATGTGCATAGCTGCACCCCCATCTTTTTCCAAAGCAGCTGGCAATCCAGAGTTTGACAAGCTTTTCCTAAGGATGGCAGGACAGCATTGACACACCTTTATGCTACCTGCTTTCCACATGCCACCAGCCCCATGGGGCCAGCTCAGCTTTGGAGGCACCAAAGCCTAGGGTTGGCATCCCACAGCATGAGCTCTCCCTCTTCTTCCAGCACCAGCTGCCTAGGAGCCTCCCATGGCTCTGCTGTGGAATGAATCCCAACAAACCTTCTTCCTCTATCTTGCACCCTGTTGGAAAACCTCCACCTTAGAGCTGAAGGCCTGTAAGTTCACTCCACAAGTCAGAACTTCCCACAACTGCTGCAGGGGCAGACACAGAGTCTAGGTCTCATTTCTCCAAAAGATTACATCTAAAAATCACACACACTCCTTGGAATTGTTGCCTCACCAGCACTATCAATCTTAAAGGAAGAATTTCAATTGAATATTGCAAAGATCTGTTAAACATACCTAGACTGCAGTGCCTGGAACCTCTGCACAGTTTTAGGAAAGGATACATTTAGATCCACCAAGGATACAAGCAGCTTTCCAGTACTGCCCTAAGGCACTTGGAGTCACAGAGAAACAGAACTAAGGTCTAAACATGCCCAAGCAAATGCCCTTCAGCACAACACTGGGAAAATTTCATTTCTATGACCAAAATTCAAGCTCCAGGCACTTGGCTTTAGGCTAAGACTGAATTTTAAAAACCTTTTCCTTAGAATTTGTTTTCCATCAGAGATTCCACTCACCCCAGTATAGTTTAGGCTTTGCAATTCTTGTTTATTTTTATGGTCATTTTCAGAAGCTTCCTGAGAAAGGACTTTATTCTGTCTGAAACCTGACATGCTTCAAGTTCATGGCTGTTCAAGCTGCAGACTTGCAGAGAGAAGCTAGAAAAGTAGACAGATAAGAGTCAAAAGTAGACAGGAGGGCAAAACCTAACCTGTCTTACCAGCACAGCACCTTACACCAAAGGGCCATGCTGACTTGCTGGAGCCAGAGCAGACAGGTGATGGAAAACCCCAAGTAGATCTATCACAGTTTGGCACTCACCCAGCTCACATGGTTACTGGGATGGCTCTTGGATAAGCTAATTCCCAGTACTTTGGCTGATAGTGTAGCATTCCAGCAGTGTACTAAGTAAACAGACTGAGCTGAATGTTACCATCTCTTCACATTTAGACTCATTCACCCTCTGTGTCCAGTATGAAAATAGGGAAAGGATGAGAGCAACTGTACTCAGAGCACTTAGGGGTGAAAAAAAGCAATAAAATAATGGTCTCTTAATGTGCCCTTTTTTCAGGAATCTAAAAGTACTATTCTCTGGTAAAGCAGTACAACAGATGTGCAGCTGACACTTATGGAGCCTTCATTATGGCAAATAATGAGCTCCAGTTTGGATGTGGTGGCTAAATCTAGCACCCAGGCAACTATACACTACTCACTGGTTTGATACAATCCTGGACATCCTGGAGATGGGGAAAGCAGCTGATTCTGACAGGCAGCCCAAGAAGAAAAGCCATGTTGCAATTACCAATTTCAATTTCAAATTAGATCCCTATTGCAAGAAGACAAAGCAAGCTTTAAAATACCAGGAGACCAAATTCACTCTGAAGCACAACAGTCAACTGGAAAAGTGACTGAAACTACTATTAAATATTTCTTCATTAACTGGAAGAAAAAAAAAAAAAGGGAAGACAACAACAAAAAAACAACCCAACTCCACAACAGAGGCATATTACCAAACTTAATGCTTTCAAATGACAGATCTGAAGCCTTTCTGCTCTATGCAGCAAAACTAAGTCCACAGGCAGATCAAGACTTTTAAGCCGAACTTTATTGCTCTTACAGAGCAGAAAAGCAACAGGAGCCGGTGGAAAGAAAGCACAGAAAACACCACATCAGAAGCATCAAACCCAGCAGGAACAGAATTCAATTAGGAAGCAGAAAGCAAGCTAAAACAAAAAAAAGGAAGTATGGAAAAGGAAACCAGTTAGCTAGCCAAGGGGCTTCAAGAGGCAGTGTAATTCCAGAAAGCCTAAAGTGCCTTTTAAGTTAAAAATGCCAGTTTATCCCAGTTACTGTGATGAAGCTATCATACTGCAACCTACTAGCTGCCTGATGTGGCTGGATTTAGTGGTCTAGCAGTGCCTATTTCCATAAAAAAGGAGAGAGATGAATCTCTTCCCCATCTTCCTCCTCAGGTGTCCAGGTCCTATTTATTAAATTCACAGTTACATTCAGTCACACAAAAGGGTAATGACTGTTTCTCTACAGGCAACTCTCAGAAGCTGCAGCGTGGAAATAAAACCTGAACTAGCACCTGATGGGAATAAATTAGATGAGATTTCTCCAAAGCAGAATAAAGGAAAGAAGAGAACATCAACAAAAGGAATGCCTGCACAGCCATTTATAGCTGTTTCCATAGCAGTGTAAAACACTTCAGTTGCTCTAAGTGCAAAAGCTGACAGGGTAACAAAAGACATCATAGGAGAGGCTTTTCACCAAAACATTCTGGGGTGGGTACCAAGAAAGTGAGGGATGTGCATTAACTGCACTAAACCCCACAGCAGCTTGGTTAGTGACTCAGGTTTTGTCCCACACAAGGCTGCTGGCCCAAAGATGGTATTTGTTTTCCCCCCCTAGTCATCCTCACACCTCACCCACCCAAACCTCTGTGGCCAGCAGGGTGAGTTATGCAGAGTTAAGCCAGCACTGCTCTCACTTCTATAATTTAAAAAGCAGTTAGAAGTTGAGAGGCTCATTTTAACTTTACCCCCAACCACAGCAGTGTGCTAGGCTAACAGCTGGACTTCATGATCTCAAAGATCTCTTCCAACCAATATGATTCTATACAAACATACAGTAAAAGAAACCACTCGTTACTGCAGCACCAATAACTGCTGCCTGTGCTGTGCTGAGCTAGACAGGGAAAGACAGTGCCTTGAAAAACACAGAATGGTTTCAATTAGAAGGAACCTTATAGCTCCTCCAGATCCAACCCCCTGCATGGGCTTGGACACCTCCCACCAGCCCAGGTTGCTTCAAGCCCCATCCATCCTGCCCTTCAACACTGCCAGGGATGGGGCAGCCACAGCTTCACAGCTTCTCTGGGCAACCTGGGCCAGTGTTTCACCACCCTCACACTAAAGAATTTCCTCCTCATGTCCAACCTCAATCTCCCTCTTCCAGTTTTAATCCATTACCCCCATCCATTCCTCCGTTGCCCTCTCCCTCCCTGCCCTTGTCCAGCTTTCCTGGAGCCCCTTCAGGTACTGGAAGGTACTCTAATATCTCTCCAGAAATTAATGCCACATTTAGTCACCACAAATTCTTGTTTGCAACCTCTGCTCAAATCTCATCTGACAAAAAATGATGGGTTTAGTAAAACCAGCACAACATTAGGAAGTATGTACTACTAAAATGTGACACTTGGTACCACGTGCCCTTCAACTGCTTTTGGGTGGGCAGGGTAAAGAGGAAGCAAACAGATAACAGTTCTTGATAGCCTGAGAAAGCAGAAATTGCCAGCACAGGCCACATCACCTTGATAACCTTGCTGTGTCAGCCCTGGCCAAAGAAGCCCAGCAAGACGGGGCCTGAAACATGAATTGTATTCATTCTATTGAGTCAAGTCCAACAGAGCGTGATCAAAAAGACAAGAACCTACCAGAGCACCTGTAGTGCAGTGAGGGAAGAGAAATGAAAGTTGTCCCTGAATTGCAGTGCCTCCTAAGAGGAACAAACATGCATTAAAAGGGAACTGCAAGAATCAGGATGTTTCCCTTTTCAGACAGATGAGACGCGCCACGGATTTCCTCGGTCGCAAAAAGACAATCACACTATCTTAGAGTCTCACTGAATTTTCCTTAAGTGAATGACTTTTACCAGTCCATTGACAATTTACATGCTCTCTGGATACCTTTTCTCCAGGTCGAATGCTGCCACATTTCAGGAGATTGATGTCAGCCTTGCAGTCATCCATGAAGCCACAGATCAACCGGTAATCGCTGAAGATAATGGCTGTCATTTTAGTGATGTACTGATGGCACTGGTACTCGGTGATGTTGCCCCTGTGATCCACCAAACACGACACCAAGAAGCCTTTACCCACTGGTTCATCTGCACACTCCTTGATCTGTTAAAAAAGAAAAATACAGGGGTTGCAGCTAAAAATTCAACTTTTCTTACTTAAAAAATAAATCCTCAAAGAAACCTGCATTGATGGCTTCAAAATCTGCAGGTAAAGAAACTCTCTGGGCTTTAGTTTGAAACTCTTTGGGCTTTAGTTTCATTTTCAGTCAAGTCAGAATGCTTGAAATTATTTCAGAAATGAGAAATACCTCATGTGTGCCACTATCTGAAGAAAGCAAACACAACGACCTTGAGGATTATAAAGCCTCTTGCTCAATAATTATCTTTCATAATAATCACATGGAACCCCTGAAATCAAGTGGATGTGTAGGGACAACATCACTGAATCACACTTGGATCACCCTTTAGCCATCTGACCTCCTACAATATAATACTAGAAGTGAGACTGATTCAAAAGTCAACACAATATTTACTGAACTGTTTATAACTTGCTGGAAGCTGAATATTAGTATAAAGGAAAATCCTCATCAAATTCATTTTTATCAGGCTCTTACAGGAACTGATTGCTGGTACTAAACTACTTTGCTCAAAAAAAACCCCAAATCACAGCTAACAAAAGCTGAAAGCTGTGCAGGGATCCATGGGAGATCCATGGTAATCAATAATCCAGGAGGGTTCAGATACCAAGCCAGGGCAGGGAATCATTTTATCAGTTCTCACACACCAAGCTTGAATCTGTATACTGGAAATTAAAACAATTTAAACGGAGAGCCATGTCTAGAAAGATATTCAAACAGGAATTCAAACAGGAATTAACTCAGGGCATCCTGTGACAATCTCCTACAGGTCAGATTAGATGAATAAAACAGATCTTTCTCTGCCTCACCTTGGGAGGCCAATACTCTCCATATAACAAATCCAACACACAACACTTCAAACACCATTATTTGAAGACAGATAAAGGCTTGTAGAACGTTTTGTATCTCATCTATAGCCTTTAGAAAACCATAGTTACCAGGGTCAACACCATTGTTATAAATAAGGCATAAAATACATTTTACAGCAAACACATGGATGATTCATTGCAGGGTGAAAGGGAGAGAGTCGAGCAAGGTTTCTCTGAGAAAGCTGCATCTTTGCTTTGGCTCCATTTCAGCTCCAGTACCAGGAGCCAAACCAGTGCACAACAGTAATGTGCTGATTTTGGAAGAGCCTGGCTTTGGAAACAGCCCCAGAGCTCCACGGCCTGAGCCAGTGAACTACATAAAAGACCAAATCATCATGTTACTGCCTGGCCACTCCAGCAACAACCACCATTATCTGGTAGCCAACTCTTAAGTCTAGATCAACATTATTGCCAGGACACATAAAATTGGAGCAGTAGAGGAAAAAGTTGGTATTTACATCTATGTTTAGCTGATAAAATTAAAGGTGGACTTTTCAGAATGTACCTGGCTGGGACAGTCACCAATTCCCCAAATGACTTCTACTAAAATCAGAGCTCAGTCTCCAGCAAGAGAACATTTCTTAGTGGGAATTAAAGTATTATTAGGCTAATACTTTCTGTTAGCAGCACATTCCCACTATGTGTTAGTTCTAAGGAGTGTTTTGGAAACACTTAAAAATGGGTGGAATAGCTGATGCACCTGCCTCAGTATTAAGTGTCAGAAGATGAAACACATGAGATTGCTACTTAGGCACCTTTTGTTTTCTTTAAACAAAAAACACTAACAAAAGCTGAAAAAAATGATTAATCAAGTAATCTTTGAGCTCAAGGCACAGAGAACTAACTCCTAGTGCAACCTAAAAAGAGGGAGGTCTTAACAGAAAGTCCTTGGAGTAATTAAACTTTGAGTCTGGAAGAAAGTTGATCCATCATTTGATGTCTGTGTGATCATCCTCTCTGCTAGTAAGCAACAACCCAAACCTTATGCTAAATTCAGTGGAACCCTTCTAACCAACACTGTCCAGCACTTAACCAAGAGAAGACAACCCAATCCAATCAGGGAAGAGCTCCTGGACTGTTAAGTTTATCATTTCTTTCCCCCACCCCTTTGCCTGGCACCACAAGGAGCTCTAATGAATCGTGCCTGGTCATTTGGTATTTAAGACTAGAGCTTCCCCAAACCCAAATCATTCCCACACAAATTCACTATCAGAAAGAAATGATCCAAACCTTAGTGCCACAAGAGCAGCTGTGCCCTTTTTCTAGCTTACCTCTGCAATAGTGGACTTGCAGACTTCTCTGGCCACGGATTCAAACTTTGGATCTGTAGTTAGGTTCAGCTTGTAGTTCCACAGGAGCTACGGAGACAGCATTTGTAGAAGAAAGGGGGTTTATAAGAGCTTCCCATCAAGAATGACAGATATTTTTTTGCTTAAGAATGAAACATTATTTAATCCCCATCTGCATCATCATCCTTCTACAGTGCAACACTCAATGCAAAGTCTCCTTGACAACAACTTTGTCCCTTCACTTCTGCAATAATTTTCTCATCTGAAAAAATTCAGAACAAATTCAGACTGATAAAAATCTCTCCATAAGGTCATGAGCTGACTCATTAGAAGGAAATATGCCTAATGAAGACAACTTCATCACTGAAAGGATAAAAACAATGAAAGCTGTAAATTGCTACCTGCTGCAGGTTTAGCAATGACAGGGTTGGAAGGGACCTTAAAGACCATCCAGTTCCAACCCCCTGCATGGGCAGGGACACCTCCCATCAGACCAGGTTGCTCCAAGCTCCATCCAACCTGCCCTTCAACACTGCCAGGGATGGGGCAGTCACAGCTCCCCTGGGCAACCTGGGCCAGGGTCTCACCACCCTCAGACTAAAGAATGAGGTCCAACACCATAAGAATACAACTCTGCATTTGTAATCTCCTTGGAGAGTCCTGAGATGAGATGCTCTCCAAAGGAACCTTCCCACAACCAAAAGGAAGGCTAAACTTGCAGTTTAAAAATCCAGATTTTAGTGCTAGGCAGTATTTTCCCAGGAGATGATCAGCAGTTGTACTACCAAAGACTGCAGAGGGAGGCAAAGAAGACATTTGGACATGAGATGCCTCTCTGTGGTCTAGTTTTTGATCACTCCCCTTCAGTTTTTGCCCACACTTCCTATTCCTGAAAGGTTTCTGGAAGCCACAGCAGCCTGACATCTGCCTGGAGGCAGAGACCCTGTCATTTCATCCAACAGAGGAAAGGTCCAACCTTTGACTTCTAGAATTCTCAACTACATCTTCATTCAGGTAACTTCTGCTGGCACATTTAAATGTCAGGCAGAAATGTTTTAATTACTGAAGGTTTTTCCTCTTTTTCAAAAAAAGGCAAGACTTAAACTGAAACACGATGTGCCCCTTCATCTGATTCAACCCTCCAGAACAGAGAATTGCAGCTGCCATGAAGTCAGGCAGTGCAGTGCTAAAGGTTAATTTATAAACACAGTTGGAAATTACTAGTTGTACAGCATGGCTGGGTTTCATTTCTGGAATATATCTTCCAATAATTAACTAAATAACAGCTTCTCAAGCATATGAAACCAAGACAGACATTGAGACATGCACTTGTCTGTCTGTATCCAGGGCTAACCAAACAATTAAGGATCTTGAGATGGTCTATTCTAACAGAATGCAAATGAGAGAAGCCAAAGGAAATCTAATACCAACCTTAGCTCTGATGATTTTAATTATTTTTATTATTTTTTTAGAGTCTTGGGATTTGAAGAGTCAGCTTGACAGCCTGAAAACTGGCTAACAGTTTGCTCACTGTTAAAAACACAGTGCTGAGAGGAAATCTGTTCTAAAACCAGCCAAGTGGTTCAAACTGCCTCCAGATATCACACCCCCACAGCATTTTCCAAGTGAGTTTAAGAATTTAGCAGCTGTGAACGTAATACTGAAGGTTTCAACAGCTGAAATTCAGTTGCAATTTGGTGCTGCTTTCCCAAAAAGGAGCACATCATATTGCTCTTATTAACTCACAGGAACCACCCCCCCAACTGTAAAATAGGAAAGGTTTCTGGCCAGCCTCCTCTGGTATAGATATGCAAGGTATCTTAGATATGTTCCACTCTGAAGTCTTCAGTAAGACCATATTGGTTAGACTGGGATAAAGAAGTTGCCTTGTGCTCTCCCTCCACAGGCCAGTCCAGGAACCCAAATGTCCCAATTAAGGCCGCTTGCAATCTACCAAATTGCAAAACACCTGAGGTTGATAAGGCAGATAAGGTGAAAATACCCCAACTAGAGACTGAAAGAAACAAAGCAATACTTACATGATTGCAGTCTGAGGAGATTTCATTATCTGGCTGAAAAGAGAAGAGAGAAGTGTCAGTTCACTGGTGCTGTGACACGTTTAACATCCGGAAACGTGTAACTTCCAACATATTGCCAACACATTTTCCTTCTAACAAACAACTTGACAAAAGCAATAGGACATTTTAAAACCTGCATAATAAGAGTGATGATATCTAAGCACCAGAAAGATGGAAATAACAGAATGCTGTGTTAACTCCACAAAGCATAAATGGCACACGAGTAGCAGCATTTATGTTGACGCTGCAAAAACATGAGGAATGAGCTTGTGTTTGGCCCAATTGCCCAAGCCAAATAAAACTCAGCACCTGTGGGAAAACAAAGATGTGAGAGTAAAGTTTTAATGGAAAATAAGTCTTGTGCATACAACTGAAGGAGAAAATTAGGACTCACTTCCCTCCCCTGGATCGAAGGGTTCGTATTTCCCAACACCTCTAAAGCCGTACATCAAAGCAGCCCTGAGATTTACACCTTCAACCATGAGACACTGGTAACATCCAATGTTCACACCTCAAAATATTTGCCATATTCTTTTTGTTTATATTAATGAAGGTTCTGCTATGTTCTGATGACAATGCCACTGACAATTCCTCAGGTACAGCCTCCACCAGACCGGTTGGTGTCTGCAGAGGGAAGACTCACACTCCACAGCAAGTTGTGATGAAGAACTTCCAATCACCCTGACCTCCCTTCCAGTTCCAGTTGCTCTCCCAATGGAGAGCTCCTTGAAAAAGTTCAGACAAATCCATACAGCATTTCCGTGGCAAAACAAAAATCACCTGCCCATCATACCCACAGGAAAAATCAACCCTGACTCACAAAGTACCTGCTTCCACTGACGCTGAAGAGGCCAAACATGCTCTGAGAGCCACAGACACTCAAACCCACTCGAAGCTTGAACACGTCATGGAAACAAACACATTAAACCTCAAATATTGGACAGGAAAGAACCAGCACTTTACCGGTTTGGAGAGCAAGCAGCCTACATCCCAAAGATGTAGGCTACCCCCAGAGAGTTTTCCAGTGCAACCATTTGCTGCTGCACAACATGTTCTGCCAACACTTGCTCCACTGCTGCTTTGCAGAGCACAAACACAAGTTTATGGGAAGAAGAGAGCATGGGGAATGTTTCTAACTCCTTAATTACAGCCATTATTAACTCAAGCACTTTTCTTTTGTATAGCAGGAAGTGGCAGAAATTACCTCTCCACTTAGAACATAAAACAGTACCTGAAGGATCACAGTAATTAATTGCAGTTCGGTCAGACTGACACCATCTAAAACCACAGCTCCCAAAGTAACCATAAATTTGAAAATTAGGATCTCTGCTTTTGGTGGTTGTTTTGGTTTTTTTTTTTAAAGGCTAGCAGATGCTGGCTTGTTATCCTCAGACTGCAGATCTGATTCTCACAACTGAAAACTAAGACAACATCCAAATGATGCCATTTTAAAGCAGATTCAAAGGCCACCACTACCGTGGCTCACAAGGCGGGTTTCCCTTCACTTTCTGCACCCAACCTCATCATTCTGCAACAGAGGGAGGTTTTAGACTAAGCTGATTTCAAAAGCTGAGGGTCAGGGTGCCCTCCACTGAAATTGCTGTCTCAGTCTTTTAGCAGTTTCTTTATGAAAATGTATAGGTTGGCACTGTAATCCTCCTTCAGAGGACAGGACACACAAATTCTTCTGCTTGCAGGTGTGTTAGCAAGAGCCAGAGAGCAATGTCCCCAAACCCCTCTTGGTTGCTTCACTTGTTTTTGCTGCCTCTATCCTGTTTCAGATCCACCATTAAAGCTCAGAGTTGTTTTTTCTGGAAAGATAAGCCCAAGAAGATAACGGACTGGTTCTCACTGACTGGGGAAGCTTAAGCAAGCTTATCTTGAAACACATGACATTTAAATACTGCACAATGAAACACCAGCCTTCCCTGGGCTCTGCAGTGACCCTCAGCTCTGACAAATTTACTGGGCTTGTAGGATGAGGGGGAATAGATTAAAACTGGAAGAGGGGAGATTTAGGTTGTACATGAGGAAGAAATTCTTCACTATGAGGGTGGTGAGACACTGCAACAGGCTGCCCAGAGATGTTGTGGGACTCCATCCCTGGAAGGGGATGAAAAAACTCCCCAGCACAACCCGCATCAGTTCTAGCTTTTTCTGGAGACAGTCTGGTCCTCTCTTGGGTAGAGGTGGTGGAGAAACTTTCCAAACAAGAGCAGTTTCAGAACAAAACCATGTGTTTTGTTGTGTAGTAAGAGTAATGAAAAAAAGCTTAAGTTTCAAATTACCACTAAGGCAAATTGAGAAGCAAGAAAAGCTGCATCGTGGCATTCCCACTGGGTGAGCTCAAGGAACATGGATGCTCAAGAGACCCCTGGGACAGGGGAAAGGAGAGCAGCCCAAACCGGGTCCATGTGCTGGTTGAGGCATTTTAGGAGAAGCTGGGGGCAAGGAGAATGTTCCACCGACCAGTGAGGGAGAAGGACTCCTCTCACATCTCCTAATTGAAGGACTAAAACCAGACTTCACAGAAAGTACTTGTGCCTCTGGGCTCACAGAAGCTTTTGCTGTTTAGCTGCTTCAGTGGGAATTTATTGCCTCCCTTGGCAATTCTCTAAAAAGCACTCCTTCCTGAACTAACATATTCTGGACTATGAACACCACTTCCTACCTCCCAGGAAAAGCAGACTTTAGAACAAGTACCAGCTAGAAGAAACCTGAACAACAAAAGCATTTCCTTCCACTCAACCACACAGAGCAGACCCCAATCATACTACCTTCCCATTGTGAACCCTATGGAGAAATCCAAAGGTTTGTATGAAGTCACATCACTCCCAGTCCATGAGGTCCTCAATATCCTTGTGTTTCAAAGTATTGGTGATCAGGAAGTGAGGTGGATTAGGAACTGGTTGAAAGGAAGGAGCCAGAGAGTTGTAGTCAATGGGGCAGAATCTGGTTGGAGGTGTGTGACTAGTGGAGTCCCACAGGGGTCGGTACTGGGACCGGTGTTGTTCAATATCTTCATCAACGACCTGGATGAGGGTATAGAATGTACCCTCAGCAAGTTTGCTGATGACACTAAGCTGGGAGGAGTGGCTGACACACCAGAAGGCTGTGCTGCCATTCAGAGAGACTTAGACAGGCTGGAGAGTTGGGCGGGGAGAAACATGATGAAATTCAACAAGGGGAAGTGCAGAGTTTTACATTTGGGGAAGAACAACACCATGTCCCAGTACAGGTTGGGGTCTGAACTGCTGGAGAGTAGTGTAGGTGAAAGAGACCTGGGGGTCCTGGTAGACAGGAGGATGACCATGAGCCAGTAATGTGCCCTTGTGGCCAAGAAGGCCAATGGCATCCTGGGGTGCATTAGAAAGGGTGTGGTTAGTAGGTCAAGAGAGGTTCTCCTCCCCCTCTATTCTGCATTGGTGAGGCCACATCTGGAGTATTGTGTCCAGTTCTGGGCCCCTCAGTTCAAGAAGGACAGGGAACTGCTTGAAAGAGTCCAGCGCAGAGCTACGAAGATGATTAAGGGAGTGGAACATCTCCCTTATGAGGAAAGGCTGAGGGAGCTGGGTCTCTTTAGCTTGGAGAAAAGGAGACTGAGGGGTGACCTCATCAATGTTTACAAATATGTAAGGGGTGAGTGTCAGGGGGACGGAGTTAGGCTTTTCTCAGTGATTACCAGTGATAGGACAAGGGGTAATGCGTGTAAATTGGAGCATAGGAGGTTCAAGGTGAATATCCGAAAAAATTTTTTTACTGTGAGAGTGACAGAGCACTGGAACAGACTGCCCAGGGAGGTTGTGGAGTCTCCCTCACTGGAGACATTCAAAACCCACCTGGATGAGTTCCTGTGTGATGTACTCTAGGTGACCCTGCTCTGGCAGGGGGGTTGGACTAGATGATCTCTCGAGGTCCCTTCCAGCCCCTAAGATTCTATGATTCTATGAAAGTGCCCTTTCTCATCCACCAGATTTCAACTCCCTGCAAGAAGTGACAGCCAGCCCTTCCTGAATCTCTCTGCTTCAGCAGCTGTATAAAACTAGGTCAGAACTATACAGCACCCACCAGCACTCCCCAGGCTTGAGGAGGCATGAGGCTTTGGTGTTTTAGCTTCAGAAAGGAACCATTATGGTGCTGGTTTCCAGCAATAGTTATGTAGTCCTAGGTACAGCATGAACTGGGGTCATGCATCATTATCAAGTAAAGAGCAGACTGCCTGGGGTGCAATTACTGTCACCCCCCCAGCTTGAGTCAGTGTCCCTTTCAGCTGTGTGTACCAGACTGGATTTGGTCTCCTTTCATCACTTCCTAAAAAAATTAATTCACACCACTGGATTCTGAAAAGCAAGGTAAGAATCCTGAGCAACTACTGTGGATGGAACTCAGGTCTTGGAAGAACTCTCTGCAGGGATTATTTTAATCACCAGCAGCTGCTTGACCTTTCTTCCCTTTGCTTCCTTGCAAGTGTCATGCAAACAGAAGAGCCTGAAGTGAGCTGCACAAGTGCCTTTATTCCCAGATTTTAATCCCTCCTTGGAGCAGCACAGGGGATGACAGCAGACTTTTCCGCTATTCTTTTAAGGCAAGAGTGGCAGCACACCTGCTGAAAATCAAGGACCGGGCATATCTCAAACACTATGGATGATCTTCAGGCATTGAAGACAACAGGTCCTGGACCTGGCTCAAGCAAAAACTACCAAGAACCTGCAGCAAACCAGCAAAATAAAAAGGCAATTGGCTTGTGATGGGAGGAATCCAGTAGATGTTCTTCCCCTACATTCAGGAAGAGATTGTGAAAAGAGCACACAAGTCAATCAGGAAAGGATGTGATGTTAAAACCAAAATCCCATGAAAGAGAGAGCATGCAGGAGTCCAGCCAGACCAGAGGTGTTCCTCAGGTTATTGCACTGTCACACATAGGACATACTACTCATAGAATAGTCTGGGTTAGAAGAGACCTTCAAGATAATCTAGAACCAACCCCCCTGCATGGGCAGGGACACCTCCCACCAGCCCAGGTTGCTCCAAGCCCCTGCCAACCTGCCCTTCAACACTGCCAGGGATGGGGCAGCCACAGCTTCCCTGGGCAACCTGGGCCAGGCTCTCACCACCCTCACACCAAACAATTTCCACCTCATGTCCAACCTCAATCTCCCTCTTGCAGTTTTAATCCCTTCCCCCTTGTCCTCTCCCTCCCTGCCCTTGTCCCAAGTCCCTCCCCAGCTTTCCTGGAGCCCCTTCAGGCACTGGAAGGTGCTCTAAGGTCTCCCTGGACCTTCTCTTCTCCAGGCTGAACACCCCAACTCTCCCAGTCTGTCTCCTGAGCAGAGCTGCTCCAGATCATCTCCTATGGGTTCTCTCAAGCAGTTCCATGTCCTTCTTGTGCTCTAGCAGTGAAGTGATTCCACCTGCAGAGATCAAGCCAGTTGGACTTCTGACACCAGAAAACAGCACAGGCTAAATGCAAGATAGCAATCAAGGAGAGACCTGGGGAAGCAAACCTGATCCCCTCCCAAGGCAACCATTAGAAATTATTTTGCAGAAGGATCTGTGCAACAAGAGCAGGTACAGCAGTCTAGGCAGAAATCAACACAGCTTTTGTAAAAGTAGAAAAAAAACACTCATCACAGAACCACTTGTGCTTCAAGCCTACTGAAACATCCTGGAGTCCTGGGCCAATAAGCATATGGCTACAGTAAAACATTTTCACAAGCCTGCAATCCTGGAAGAGTCATGTGTGATTAAAAAAAAGTTCAAACCAGTGATAATTTAAGTTCAAAACAGATGAGAAGACGTCATAATTCAATTGCATGTTTAGTGAGCAGTAAGTTAAACTTGTTAAGCTGAGCTTGAAAT